GGTTATTTGGGCTAGAGTTCTCCCAAACTAACTTTATAATATAAAATTTGGAGTTCCTTATCTTTGAAAGTATTTGCAGGTATGTGTAGGTTTATAAACATGTAATGTTTCATATATATCAAATGACTATCATCACTGCAGTCCTGTAAGATAGGCAGAGAAGGGGTTTTATAGAGTAAATTGACCTGCAGGAGATAAGTCACAGGACTAAAGTGAACAGGACCAGAAGCCAGTGCTTGGAGCCCCACTCCTGTGTGAGCTCAAGACTCATTTGAGGACTGAAGGGAAGAATCCCATAGTGGTGTCACCATTCCTGAACTCTGTCCTAAGAGCCAAACGGACCCCGGGCAGTTTAAATGGAACTTCGCAGTAATTACTAAGGAAGACATTCTATTGTTTGCAGTTCTGCCCTCTCAATGTCTCACTTCATTTTTTAAAATAAGTCATTATTCTTTCTACACAACTGTAGATGAATAGAAAAATATAAAATGCTCTTAACCCTTTCCAAATACATATTTCCAGGAGACAGGAACTTCTGGGGCATGGAGCTTTGTAGTTGTAGCACTTAATGCTCCCCCTTCAAGGCATCAAGGGGGTGAGGTTGAGCTCCTCAACTTCTTGCCTTCGGTTCCACCCCAGCAGCTGGTTCCCAGCGCCCTCCCCCTCTCTGCCCCCTGCCATCGGTCTCTCAGGGCTCCCTTGGCGACCTGTAGGCTTCCTCCTGCCTCTAGAGGACTCTGCCCTATGCTAACCGCCTGGGAGAAGGGATTCTCCTCACAACCACGCGCTGGCATCTTTTCAGATCCCCTCAAGATTCCCAGCTTCCATTGTAGTGATTCCTATCTCACTCAGATTTTCTTAAAGTAATAATAAAATAGTAAGCAAATTAGTGGCGAAAATATATTCTTTTAAACAAATACAGAGAAGTAATAAATGAATAATCTTTGTGTTCATGATTATCTGCAGTTTGCTTATGGATGTAAAGAATGACTACTGGGTTTTTACCTCCCAGCTTTATTTAAAGTCAAAATTATATATTGTTTGAGATAGCCCTGTATTCCCTTATTATTGGGAACAGACTCAAACTATAGTAATGTATTCGTTGCAAAACGTGTTAAGAAGCGAGCAGTTATTTCAAGGAGGTGAAAGGACTAAGAGCATCTATCTGCACTAGATGGAGATAATCATCGACAACCTCCAATTTTTGTTTAGTTTACTCTGATTATTCCTAATTTTCATTATTGAACTTAGTTCTGGCCAAGAACTCTAGATAAACGAACATTATAAGCCTTGCTCCAAGAAGGTGCTGCCATGTAAAGTAGGATGGAAAATAATAAAGTAGAAAAAATATATCCAAAAGAAGCAGGCTTAAGGAAAGAAGCGCTGAGAAGTGTGCTGGCATCATGAGCCTTCAGAAATCAAGAAGCGGCAAGCCCGGGTCGCATTCGAAGTGGGTGAAGGGGAGACAGTGACTAGATAGCCCTAAAACAAAACAAAACAAAACAAAACAAAAAACAAAACGCCATCTAAGAAAAACCATCATAAGACTGCTTATATGAATTCTCATTAAAAGAAACAGAATGTGAATGAAATATAAAGTCACTGATACCTCATATGATATTTGGATTATGTAAAGGAAATAATTGACCTGGTGTATCTATTGCTCTCTAGATTGAATTCATCATGGGCCTTAGTAAGGCTTTTTAGTAACACTATATATTATGTCAACATATATGTATGAAATAGCTTTTAATCATAGCACTATAGTGAAAATTGAGTGTATAATAGTATATGTTTGTATAATTTTGAAAAATGTACAATAAATATTAAGTATTTTATGTTCCTTTGGATATTTAAAAAATATCAACCTATTGAATGGAAAAATCAAATATGTATATTTATTTATTTGTTTATTTAGCCAACACTTTAATTTACTAATAAAAAATCTATCCTGTGATATCATCTGAATCATATTTCAGTAGTTAAGAAACCCACACAATGTTTCTCAAATACAGCCAGTTTAATGTAGGAAAGTAGCTAACACTTTAGTCATCAATAACAATTTCATAAGATTTCTCAATCTGTCAAATTGTTTTACTATTTTTGCTTAAGGTTCAGATTAAGAAAAGGAGCATTAAAAAGTTCTGTGGAGAGACAGGAATAATGTTGATTGGGATAAAAGAGTATTATCAACCACTTTTTATCCTCAGAGAAACTCAGTATAAATTACTCTGCATAATTCTAAGTGAAAGTTAAGAGAACCTACGATTGTTTTTGTTTTGGTTTTTAAGTCTGAAAAATCATGGCAGTAGTAAAGTATCAATTAGCATAAGCCAATCTTTGATATTACTTCCAGTACATGGTGGAATCATTTAAATGCTAAAATATTGGCATGATTCTTCTCCTGATAATCACCTTCATCGGCCCCTCAACTTGTGTCTGACCATCATGGTTTAGCGAAGCTAATTCAATACTCTGACTACTCGATTCTTGGTAGAAAGTTATACTCATAAAATGGTAATAATTTCATGTAAACATTAATGAAACAAATTCCACTAAAAAAAAACCAGAGTGCGTGTAGTTAATTGTTTAATAAGGATTTCTATGGTTTAGTTTATTTTCAAAATGTAGCCATGACTTTCAACATTAAATTATAATTTTAATTACAGGTCAAATGAACGGAGGATTTAAATACAAATTGATACATTTTCAACAAGATGGCAGCTCTAACTCACTTCATCTCAAAATTATTTACCCATATTAAGTAGAATTTAACTTAAAATGTTTTCCACTATACATGTCTGTATGTAACCTTCCTGTTTACTTTTAGGTCCCCATTCAGACTCATTATCATAAAGGGCACTAGGCGATCAAAGACGCTTACTCTCTATAATCGTCACATGAGAAAGGGATTCAGAATGCAAATCCTCACCACAATCTACATTTTTTGTATTGGGATATATTCAATTTCTAGGATCATACTTATCAAAGATATCTATTTTATACACTGATTTTTGCACAATTTACTTTCAGTTACAAATGCTTTTCTAAAATATAAACTAAAAGGAAAAAACACCTACAAGAGACCAATTTTTGGAAGAATAAAGAATGATTAATATGGCGCTATTATCTTTGCCTGCTTGTTTGCTGAAGGGGTTGAAAAGTGTTGTTGTTGTTTTCTCATTTTATTGACTTTTAAATTTAATACTGTTAAAATAAGTATAAAGCACCCCTGATTAATGTCTGAAGAGCTAAATTAGATCTCAGAGAACAATGCTAATGAAAATCAAAGAAGCTGTGACAATGCTACATGGAAAAGGGGCTTTGTGACTTTTTGTATTTCACTAACAATGCATTACAGAGATGTGGCTGTGTAACTTCAAGTACTGATTGAGAAGTTCCATTTTTTAAAAATCTGAAATGTGTTATACCTTCAGGGAAAAGCACAAAGAAAAAAAATTCCTACTTTTGTATGAAATCAGTACATTTAAATATAAATGTGAATTATAATATTATTCAAATCAACTATATTAAATATACAATTGATCCTCAAAATATAAATAAAAAGTAAAATGAAATATTTCAATCCATAATCAATATGAAAATTATTAATGAGATGCTTTATATGCTTCCATTTTATATCTTCAAAACCTACTATGTATTTTGCACATATAACACATCTCAGTTCAGACAACCTGTAATTTCAAGTGCTGGATAGCCATGTGTTGCTAGTGATTACATATTGGACAGTATAGTTCTAGAAGAAGTCATTATTCTTACAGTATTACTAAAATTTAGAGAATATCTTATTATTATCCAACAGAATAAATAAATGCCCACATAAATGCATGCTCAATGTGGTACAAATTTCTTCTATTATAGGCTTTTCTTCCACTTTTATTTCTATTAAATATCAATCATAACCTTTCTTAAATAATAAAAGAGTTCCTTAATAGAGCTTTCTTATTAGTCAAATATAATATTTAATAGAGTTATTGCCAATAACTCATGTTTATTGCCAATTTCCAAAAAAAGTCATATGTAGTAAATATATTGAACTCAATCTGGCATTATCATTATGAAAGTTGTCAGTTGTTGTACTTAGATTTCACTATTGTGTGTTAGCAGAGTATTTCTGTATTTAAAAAAGTATATTTCCTATTAATATGTAAACTTTATTATCTATATATTACAATCCCAAATATGTGCCTTTGTTAGAGAGTAAGCTTTTGGTCATTTCAGAAATATACCAGCTCATATAATAATTCCAAATCATAAATATCACTCCAGGAGATTTCTGATGGAATCTAGTACAGGACTTCATGGTGGAACTCGAATCAACACTGCTTTTTAAAATTCTAAATTTCATTAGAAAAGTAATTATCTATGTCTAAGTCACATATCCAAGTCAAGTGAGGGAGGCCTATTTAAAACCTACCAGACATCCAGCAATTTGAATAATAATTATGATTTTTAAATGTGGAAACTTGTGTTTTAAGGAGAAAATGTTATAATGACCTATTTAAGACTGGATATAGTGTCAAGAGCAATTCAAATCAATGACGCTATAGACAAAAGCTTAGGATGTCAGCCAGGAGAGAAATTACTATGCGTAAGTGTTGCAGAAACATAAAATAGTTTTAGAAAGCAGATGGAAAATACTTGCAAATAGTAACTTATTTTTCTAGTTATAAAGATAACTAAATTTTAATCATTTGAGGTTTTGTAGTCTCTCATATTTATGAAAAAATAGCATCGCTACTTTGAATTATGGACAAGAAAATAATTTAAGAAGTAAAAAGCCCATTTTAATTTAATTAAAACAAATCATTGTGGTAGGTAGTCTTTGGTACTGATCAGATTATAGAAATCATCACTTTTCGTAAAAAATCACTTACCCAACTTTTTGCTTCTATCTTTAGTCCCCTGGTAAAACCATTATGTGTTTAAAGGGAGAGAGAACAAGGCATATAAAGCTGCAGCAAAAGGTACAAGGATACAGTCCCTTCCCGGAAAGAGGATTTTGTGGCGAACCATCTCTCCCATAATGCATCCCACAGACCATATATCCACTAGAACAGGAGAGAGGGGAGTGAAGAAAGGGAGGAAAGGAAAGTTAACTGAGATCATGGATCTCTCAAGGGGGGGAAAAACAGTTTGATTAGAAGGTACAATTTTTGTTTCCCACCAAAAGTTGGCCAAAAATGTGAATTAAAACCAGCACTATAATATTACATAACCAATGTCTAGTATGAGAGCTCAAATTAATTTTTAAAAATTACTTTAAGGGTGCCTTACACTGCCCTTTAGTGCCATGAAAGGGTGACATGGAAAAGCAGCAACTAAACCAAAGTATCTTCATCAACCTGTAGGGGTGGCTGTTTCCATTTTCTATTCTATCCAGTTACATGGAATACTTCTTTTTTTTTTTGTACATGCAACCAAATCCAAGAAACTAGGAAATAGCTAGAACCATAGTTTTAAGGCATAAGTATTATACTCCCTGGTTTCAGGGCTTAGTTCTTTTTTTCTTCAGAAGTAATTCTTATAAATAGTTTTAGTTTCTATTTGAAAAATTTCCAAAAAAAAAAAAACCCATATAAAATTAATTAGCACATGTTTAAAAGAGTCATCTGAAAGTAAAGTGAAAAAAGGTATTAAAGGTATTTTATGAATTGTTATATACATACATTTATTTCTCAGTTGTCATACTTGTTAACCAAGCATGCTCCACCTTCCCTTCCCAGTCTTCCCCCTCTTCCAACTGGCTTTTTAGTAAGGACAAAGGGAACTTGGCAGCAGAGCCACGAGGCCGAGCCAGTCCCTGGGGAAGGGCGGCAGGGTTAGGTGCAAGGTTAGCGGGCATGCCTGGTGTGGGAGCAAGCGGGCGCTTCTGCATGATAACCTGCCTCTCACGCGTAAGGGTGCTGGGCATGGCTTCTCCATGGATCTGGAGACGCCAAACAACTAAGGCAGCAACTTGCAGCCCTTTCTAGTGAGGAAAGGAGGAGGCATGAGATTACGCATCATTTGTGCAGCAAAGATGTGAAAAGCCATCACAGGCAAATTCAGACCTCCCCAGATCCTTGATTTCTTGACTTTAGAAACTGGTTTCTCTTTGACTTAAAAAAAATAACTTGTGAAGAATGCATACAAATGTCTGCTTTTTCGAATAATTTAGACATAGTATTGCCTTGGGAAGGGAACTAGATTTTTTATTTCAAGTCAAAAGATAACAGGCTTTTCCCATTGTCCACCAAAGTGAACCTGACCCTCCCAGGAGCTGACTTTTTCTCTTCTTCTATACAAATGCACAAATGTATTGGCTTTCTCCTAATCTGGAAGTACATAAAATTTTTTTAAACTTTGGTGGCCAGAATATTTTCATAAAAGTACATATCCTGTAGCACCTGCACATAAAAATACGATGATAATTATTTTTATAGAACTTATAAAAATAGACCGCTAGGACTAAATAGAATAGAGTATAAAATAAGTATGAAAGGTATTGAATACATATAAAAAATCCTAATTTAAAACTATTTTAATTCCTAAACAGTTAGATAAGTTATTTTTAACATGATATATTATTTGTTAGAGATTCTTTTCAAAATAATATATTCTGATACTTTCTGATTGATACTTATAAATTCTTCATTTCAATCAATCAAATCACATTGGAATACATTTTGAAGAGTGTTTCTATCTTTTCTTTTAAAGTATTCATGTATACTAGGTTTCCTTTGTGTAAGCAGTAGTATAAAATATTTTTCTCTATGGAGTTTGAAATTTATAAAAATTTACTAGGCAGTTGCTACCCTAAACAATGCATATAGAGCAGCTTAAAGTAATAAAGAAACTCTTATCCAATTTGAACAATCTGGATTATTCTAAATGAGTATTCATTGTACATTTGTGAAGATTCTCACTCCAAGGATTTGTGGTGTATTTTTGTCTGTCTTTTCCTAGAACTAGAGCCCTCTCCCTAATATATGACATAAAGCCAAATGGCCAAATGTAATAGATAGATTTCTTCCTGTTTTCATACTCACTTTGAGGTGAGGTGCAACCCAAATAGCAATTTTTCTCAGTATCTACAGCACGTATGCTTGCCTGTTTGGTCACACTCCACTGACATTTCTCTTTAGCTATAACATTTTAGTGCTCTTCTAGCAAAGCTTACTTCTTAGAAATATCCTTCACATTTTTAATGAATGAGTCTTCCTAGGAGCATTTTTTTTAAAAGAACCTTTGAATATGAAAGCTGACAGTCCTATTAAAAGAAATATTCATGTACATGAAAGAGAGCATTACTCTTGGCTCTGTTAAATATGTACTCATTTCCTTCACTGTCTCCGTGGCTACGACTCAGAAGCGTCCCTACCGTTCTCCTTGTAGCCCATTCCCAAGATGACCTCAGGGGCTCTGTAATAACGCGTCACCACATAAGGAGTCATCATGAAGCTTGTGCCCGCGGTCCTGGCCAGTCCAAAGTCAAGGATTTTCAATGTACAATCGGACTTGACTACAATGTTACTTGGTTTTAAATCCTAACAACAGGAACAAGAGAAGGAATGAAGAGCCAGCATCGTATGGAACTTGTGATTTCCATCAACTTAATCAACACAATAGTCTTGCAGTAGCACCGATGCCCCCTCCCCTTACTGCAGAGGCCTATATAACGCAAATGATTGTTGCCCCAAAGGAGTTTACAATTGGTTTTCAAATTTTTAAAATAACCTCAGAAACTTTTCTTAAACCCAGAAGATAGCTGTACTATCATTTTTACAATTTAGGCTAATCTTGGAAAGAGTTTTTAGAAAAAATACATATATATAACTCTTTGTCATCAGTTAGCTTTCTCCTTATGGCAAAATAAACCTTTCAGCTTATATTTCATTTCTAGGCCTGACAGGAGAGCAGATGAGGGCAGCTGTCTTTATTCTGTCAGAAACAAACTGTGTAAATACACTGTCTTATTTCAACTACACACATGACCTCTGCCAATCAAGGGGTTAGAAAAGACGAGGCTTCTGAGAAGCTGACTCTCAATGAGCTGAAACAAAATGTTAAACAAAATCAACTACAGTACCTTGTACAGCTAGTTTTCTTCTACACATAAGAGAGTGTTGTGCTAATTCTAACACTAAAGAAATGAGGAAGGACAGTATATTTAACCAAGCCCCCTACATAAAGAAAATCACCTACAGTTGGCTTCTCTTCTCAAAAACATCTTAATTATATTCTGTAGTAGGTGCTCTTACCCTGTGAATAATTCCAGCAGAGTGAAGGTGCTTGATGCCACACAACATTTGGTATAGAAGGTAAGACATTCGTTCATGGTCTAATTCCATCTGAATCACCTGACACAAGTTGGCATCCATCAGTTCCATTACTAAGTAACTGGAAGGTAAATCCACAGTTTAGTTCCAGATCACCTTTGAAGTCCTTCAAATAAGTCAGAATCCTCTCCTAAATCTGGATGTCTTTCTAACTTCCCATCTCCACATTTGACTGAATTAAGACTATGAAAACTTCTAAGTTTTGCACACATGCTACCCATGGTAACTCTACCACAGGCTGCTAATAGGAGCATTTATTAAATATTAAGTATATGGGTTCCTACCTATATATTTCCTACTTTCATCTTATTCTCATTTTTTCCCGAATTTCCTGAAACTCTTTCCCAAGTATTATGATTACAAATAAGAAAAAAAAATTTCAAAACAGCATCTTCCATTAAATGCGACACATCTGTAGTAAACCAGACAAGGTGCTATGATTTACTTCCTTCCCTCTGCTTAGCATCACTATACTTCTAGGTAGGTTCTTTGTACACAAAATCAAAGGCACTTCAAAAATAAAAATTAAAGATAATTATTACCAGATCTCTCTTTATTAATATTTCTCAAAGTGAATTGACTCATTCTAAATAGTTCACACAATCAACAATAACAAAAAAAAAACATATAATAAATAATACTTCTTCCCAACTGAAACAAAAACATGGGACAACAAAGCACAGAGAACCAGAAGTCCAGAAAGAGGCAGAAGCATCTTTCCAAGAAGTGACACCAGAAACAGAACCTGCCTTATCACTAGATCCCTTTTGTTTGCTGCCAGCTTTTAGGTCTAAAAGGAACTCCATCTACTAGATTTTTGTCAATTTCCCTTGACCTATTAGAGGGCTATGCTCTTCCTTCCTTCACAAGCTTTGTTACTTACACATCTTGGAACTCCTCCAGCGTTTTCTGGGGTGTGAAGACATTTAATAAACTAATAATCTGGAAAAGAGACAGTAGAAGGGACAGAGGAAAGAGTGAAAGAAAAAGGGAGAGAATGAGTTATTTTAAAAGCATATTTAGACTAGCACTTTTTCCAACTCGAAGTCACACTCTAGAGCTATGATGGAAACAGAAAAGTTGGAAAAAATTCTAGAACTGTCTCACAGAACATAGAAAAATGTACTCAGAAAGGACATATGATCTGTCTTTGGGTTAAAATACAATTAAAAAGCTCAAATTCTTAGGCAAAAGGAAGAGTCAGAGAAGATACTCATGATTGTGATATTGCTTTAGAGCGTGGTTCTCCTTGATAGAATACAAGGTCATTAAAGGACAAAGAAGGAAAGCCATGTGAGAAAGTGAGGCAGCAGTGAAACACCCAACAAGGCTTCGCAAGGCCATGGTTTTCCTCCAAGTAAACTGGGGGAAGCTCTGATTCAAGGTGAAGTCTAACTCAAGATAGTTTTGTACTGTTACTTTAGTTTCTTTTGCTTCTATTTCTATTATTTAAACTATTGTTCTAATGGTATATGTGGGGAAGAGTATATCTGGGATGATATCAATGACGAATTTAGTAGAAAATGTAAAAAAGGTATCAACATTCTGCTTCGTAAACTTTTTGTTTCCTGCTTTATTTTATATATTAGATAGTAAAGAATTTTACCTTCTAGTATAAGTAAATTAAAGATAAAGCCTTTGTAATATTTCCAAATAGATTGCATACATAAATAACTCGAAATGTTCTTTCAGCTAAATGTACTGCACTAATGTGCCAATGGGAAATAAAAATAAAAAATATAGATAACAATCTTCTACTCACAAAAAAATTAGATAAGTACAAATTTAAGATCTATACATCTTTAAGATATGAATTAATGAATTTCCATAAACTTCATAAGTGGTACAGGAACATATAAAGTAATAAAAATAAAGCAAAAGTATTTTAAACATCTAAGAAAAGCAATCAATTCTAAGGAATGCGTTTAGGCCTTAAGTGATTTTCATTTGTTGAAGAACTATTAAGAAAAAAATCACAATACCGCCCACTATTTTCATATATACGGCAATGGTTAGAACATATCAAAACCCCCAGATCATCTCTACTAAAGCAACCCTGAAGTATGGAATATGCATATAGAAATAAAATTGTTTCAAACCACCTTTAACACTTGTTAGTAAAGTACCTTGTCATTCTGTATGCTCAGTTATAGTCTGTGTTGAAAAATGTCTATGTGGTGTATCTCTCATTGGAACATATTTATAGTGTTTTTCTATACTTTATCAGTCTTGCAACGTAATTCATTTTGATATTTTTTCAAGCAAAAACACCAGACTAGGGATAGGATACACATATATACAACATAATATACACAAACAATCCATGTCACCTATTAATCTAGAAAATAGCATTACAATTTTCAATAAATCAAGATTTATTATTTTGAAAGGTAAATTCCCCACCACTATATATTCTTATTTTCTCTTTTCCTATGCCCTTATAAAAAAAAAAAAATCATTCACCCTCTTTGATTTCCTTTTGAGGATTTCTCCTCTATTCTTTCTTTGCTCCCTTATGAATTCTAATTCTTACTAACAAGCAATTCAAAATGTTGTCTTTAGAAACAGATCATCAGAGGTATTTCTATGTTAGCTGAACAGTGTCCAGGCAGGAATCTGATTCAGTTCCTCTATTCCAGCATCTTAAAGTGTGCAGATGTGAATCAGTGTTTGTCATGGCCCCCAAGTCAGACCAGCTACCACTTCCTAGAATTAAGTATTATCTTCTAAATGGATGTTCTTCTCTGTCATTACATTTTTATTTGGGATTACTTCACTGTTTCATTTTACTTTCCACAGCATTAACAGAGTTCTGCATTCTGACTGTTTTTACTTAATATTACAAGTAATAAAGTGAAATTTACACTTGGTTGTAAGTGAACTTCCTGTCTGTTAATAAGTTCGAGAAATTTATTTTCATAAACTTATATACATACATGCATACAAAAAAGGTGGTAGCAGGTAGGATGCCACTTATGAATTATCATTTCAATTTGGAACTTCTTTTTAGGTATCAGAAATGTGAACCTCCATATTCCGCATAAATGTGAACCTTCCCATCAAGAATGGAGAGTATGATTCCCTCAAGTTCCTAAGTGAGTGGGAATTTCTTTATAATGTATTTATTGCATATAAAGGCTGGAAGATTAGGAAAATATAAATATATGAAAACACAAACTGTCAAACTTTTCCATACAGTTGCTTCATTGCTAGTATCCATCCATTTTCCATTGCCCACTGTATTTCTCATTCTCTTTGCTACCATCAAAATAGACTGCATAAGTCATGTGGTTTTTCTTGCTCTTGCCTTTATTTAACATACTGAAAGAACAAATTGCTTTGGTAGAATGACTTTTCTTAGGAATTATCGTTTCCATCGTTTCTTTGTTCCTTTCTGGAAGCCTGGAAGTACCATGTTCCTTGCATAGCCAAATTAAAGATGAGTACACACTTCATAAAATTTCCTTTTCTTAGTGAGGCATTTCCTGCACAACCTATTTAAAAGAGTAACTCTATCCCACACTGACTGGAATTTTTTTATCTTTCTTCTTTGCATTGTTTCACTTAATAGCACTTTATCACCAGGTGACATTCCCTACTTTTACCTATCAGTTTTGTAGACTGTCTTTCTCCATCATTAGAACATGAGCTCCACATGGGCAGGACTCTATTTTCTTCTCTGCTCTATTTTTAGTATCTAGATCTATATCTGGCACATTTTATTCATTCAACAAGTATTTATCAAATGACTGAACTAAAAAGTCATTGGAATAGTGTAATAGAGAAAAAGAGAAACAATGTCATTGGGACTGAATCCACATACTTGTATTTCAAACATCCTTCAACTAAACACTTACACATTTGCTGCTTCTTAGTGACATTGACAGATGTGCCTTATGACAAATTCACTTGTTTATAAACCTACATTGATAATTTCATATATTCTGTGTGACTTTATTACTTAAGAAAAGCTTTGTAGGGAGTTATAGCTATTGTTAATACAGTTTTATGATAATAATTCATAACTTAATTTTATTATATATTTATATGTAATAAATTATATGTACAATATTTATTATAATTTCTTAATAATAGTCATTATTAAAATAACGAATTATCTCCCACTTATCCTTACAAAGAACAAAAACCTAGAAAGAATTCTTGAGGCCTTTGCCCGGGATTGAAGGAGCTTGTACTAGGAAGTGAAGAAAGTCCCGTTATGGTTGTACCCCACTGAGTTCCAATGAGAAACGTTCTCGATACTCCTGTTCTGAAGTGCTCTGCAAATATCTCCCTGCTCGGTTACCGAACCCTGCAAAAAACAAGTTGCCAAAGCACAGCGTGTGCACTGAACAGCTGGAGGCCACTGCCAGGCTATAGCTAAAAGAAAAAGGAGATAACAATCTTTGTCTATTAATACTTAAATTGAAATTGTAAAGAAATGTTGCATATTGTTCTGTAGGTTATTTTTGGCTTTTGGTTTTGTTTGTTTTTATTTTGGAAAAGCATGAAGTTCTTTGGCTAATTTGGAGCAAAATAACCAAATGTAGTTAATTTCATAACAGGGAAATATCTATCTAATTCATCTCCTCCATGTCATATGGGTTTTAGATGATTTTTAAGCAGAAACTTACTGTGAGGACAATGAAATTAAATGTAGCATATGTGTAGGATAAACAACATTAAGAGACAAATTGCAAAGTAAAGAAAGCTTTTCCAACTCAAGTTGGAATACTTTCTTCACTTCACTTTCTTCACTTTCTTTCCCCAATCTCACAACCTCCCACTACCAGAGGTTTAAAAATAACAACTCACATTTTTATGGTTCACACACTTCATGAGGACCAGTTCCCGGTAAGCTCTCTTGGCATGCGTTTGGTTCTGAAAGGGTCTGCTGAGCTTCTTAATGGCCACATTTCTGTCAAGGACAGCATCATATGCAGCACTGCAGAGATGCAAGAAGAATCCAGAATTATGAACAAAAGAGCCCTTAGAATACCTGCCTACAGAACTAAGGAACTAAGAATATATATATACATATATACACACACACTATTTTAGAATCCTACTCAGATACCTTCCCCTCAGGTCACAGGTCAACAAGGCTGTGAATAAAGATATGAGTGACCAGTATAAAAACATTCTACAAATATCACATGATCTCACTTATATCTAATAATGGAATCTAATGAACAAAATAAACTGATAAACAAAATAAGTCCAGAGGCATGGATGCATGGAACAGACTGACACATGTCAGAGGGGAGGGGTGTGGGGGGGAGGAAAGAGATTAACCAAAGAACATATGTGCATATATGCATAACCCATGGACACAGATAACAGTGTTGGAAAGCCTGAGGTGGAG